CAGACACAGGGGCCAGGGATTCAATCCCACCCTGCTGTGCTGGCCCTGCCCCCTGGGACTCGCTGAGACAGTGATTGAGACTGGGCGTGGTGGCGCATGCCTGTAATCTCAGCGCTTGGGAGGCTGAACACAGGAGGATCACTACAAGCCCAATCTGTGTAGTGAGACCCCGTAGACCCTGTCCTAAATACATTAAAAAGGAAGTCAATGCCTACCTATGTGACCTTGTTATTTAACCTCTGTAAATGGTATAGTTTTTAATATCACAAAATATTACTATCCAATAAAACAAGTAGCTTCCACTAATGTTATTATTAAAAAAAGTTATTTTTTAGGGTTAACTTAGAAATTTAGACAATCACATATATGTTGAATTACAAATTACTGTTAAGACATCAGAAGTGGGGTTTTGGAATTTCTAAAAACCTACTAGAATAGTCTAAATGGGATATTACAAATACATTTGAGCTTACTCACACTGGTTGATATCTTCTATTGTTGAAGGATAATTACTTTCTCACAAGGATGAAATTTTGTTTTATAAGTCACATTATCTGATAATAGAATTCGAAAATCTGTTGAGAAATTATCTGCATTATAGCTTTCTAATTGACTTACAGAACATAAATCACATGCTACATTTTCACTAATCATGTCACAATCCACCATTAAATTGTGTTTTAAAGCCCAGACATTCTGCAATTTTATCTGTACTTCATTGTATCTGAATGCCACATTACTTCAGGGGGAAAAGCTGCTTTTCTTGTTATTTTCACCATGAAAGTGTGCAGAAAGGAGCTGAGTATGTGAAGAAACTGGGCAGACAGGACGCATCTTCACCTTACATCACTCTTTTGCTCACATTCAGTTCTTGTAATTTTAGACATAATTGTTACCAAAAACAAACATAGAAGGATGGAATTCACTTCTTTGTCTTTCATAGGACATAAGTATATCTCAACCGTATTTTTAAAAATTTCATTTAGTATTTTCATACTAAATGCAGCTTTCAAATGCATTTTCTTGTGAAAGCTAGTTTGCATATTTCATTATTTAGGACTTTTACTGATGTGAACAGCTTTACTACAAATATTGTAACATTGTAATATTGGATACACACAGACTACCAGATATTGCATAAGTTCATTTACCAGTTAGCTGATTTTTTTCAGCTGAAAGTTAACACTTTATCAAATGCTGCCAAACTATAATTCAATTAATTTATAATGCCAGCTCATTAACTCAGAAGAAACTGTTTCCTTTCAGAGTGAAAAGTTTGCTATACTTGCTCACCAAGAACACACCTTGCTGTGTAAGCTACACAGCGTGACTTTCTGTACGGGCTGCTGCTGAGGTGGGATTTGCAAGCTGACCAGCCTGCTCCTACATGTACCTCTTTAACAAAGATTCCAATAAAAAGACCTACATTCACACCTGCTACTGTAACTATATGGAGCGTCCTAGGAAGCAGTGCCAGGGTCAGTGGCTACCAACCTGGCAGGCCGTATGTCCCTCACGGTGCTCTGGCACAAGTGTAATTACAAATACGTGCCTCTACCCTTTCCCAGACTCTAAGTCATCTTCAGAAAATGGATTAAGCACAGATTTGGGAATAAAACCATTGCTACATTGCTCTGAAAAAATAACTATCTTTCAGAACCATCGTTGCTTCATATCTGCAAGAAGAGTGAATTAACACCTCCTGTATGCAACACTTACTTTTATATTAGGCACTGTGAAAGCCCACGTGAAGCTTGCAGGCTTTTGAGGCACGAAGCTGGACTTCAGCCTGTGCTCCCTCCTATTCTAAAACTCTTTTTTCTTAGGATCTTTTGCACTTTTACAAATTCTTAAAGGACTCAAGAGTTTAGAGTTAACATTTTTTTTTTCTATCTGGAGTATATTTTCCATGTTCAAAATTAAAACTAAAAGTATTTATTTAAATAACACAAATCATGTGTTCTTTGATAACATGAATAATATACTCTGATGCAATACTATATTTTTTAAATTTTGAGAACACTGTTTCCAACTTTTGTAAATTCTTCTGATGGTGGACTTGATTAAAAACAGTTGGATTTTCATTAGCTTCAGCATTCAATCAGCAAAAACGTGTTATTTTGATTGAGCAAATATTTGGAAAATCCAGGCTCACACAGGTACAGAGTTGAAGAAGAGGACCCACAAAGGGCCTTGAGAACCCAAACTGGTCCTCATCCCACATTCTGAGAACCACCGGACTGAAAGGATGTCAGCAGCCCTGCGGTCGGCGTTCAGCAACTACTTGCTAAGTTAGTGAAACTTTACAAATGACATGAACATTCAGTTTGGATTTAACTGACAATATTATTTATAAGTGTTCATTGGTTTGCTATAATGACATGTGAATTATTGCAACTGTCAATTCATGACAACTAAATTAGGAAACAGACTGATATAACAAAGAAAGTAAAAGATTTATACAGTGAAAATTACAGTACTAAGAAAAAAATTGGAGAGGATTTCAGAAAATGGAAAGATATTCCTTGCTTATGAATAGGAAGAATCACCAATATCAATATGGCCATACATTTAATATTGTTATACAGATGTGATGAAATTCCCAGTAAAATACCATCAGTGTGCCTCACAGATTTAGAAAAAATATTCCTAAAATTCATCTGGAACCAGAAGAAACCTAGTATAGCAAAAGCAATCCCAGGCAACAAAGGAAAGGCAGGAAGCATTACAATATATGATTTGAAATTATACTACAAAGCTACTGTGATAAAATCAGCATGGTACTGACAAAAAATAAAACAGACCCGAGGATCAATGGAACAGAAGACACAGATATAACTACAAACACACTTAGCCACCTTGTCTTCAAGAATGGGAGCAAATATGTTCCTAGGAAGAAAGATAGCTTCCTTTATGGTGCTATAAAAACTGGCCTTTCCATATGCCGAAAACTAACATTAGACCCAGGTCTATCACCATGCACCAAACTAAAGTCGAATTGGGTCAAGGATTTAAAGATTAAAACAGAAACACTAAATCTACTGGAGGAAAAAGTAGGTAGAAATCTTGAAGACATAGGGGTAGGTAGAGAGTTCATGAACAAAAACTAAATTGCACAGTGGGATCTTATCTTTTTGAAAAGTTTCTGCATGTCAAAAGAAATTACCAACAGAGTAAAAAGAAGGGCAAAGAATTGAGAAAAACTTTTATATGACAGTCCTCAGACAAAGGACATTTATCTAGAATATATAAAGAATTCTTAAAAATCAGGCTCTCAAAATTCAAAGACCCAATCCACAAATGAGCATCTAGGATGAATATACACTTTTTACATGAAGAAATACAAGTGGTAAATAAACATATGAAAAAAATGTTCAACATCATTGGCCATTTAAGAAATGCAAATTAAGACAACACTGAGATTCCATCTCACCCCCAGAAAAGAATGGTTATCATCAAGAAGTCAACCAATATCAAATGCTGGAGGAGCTATGGGGGAAAAAGAACTTTCTCCATTGTTGGTGGGCATGCAGACTGGTGCAATCACTATGGAAATCAGTGTGGTGATTCTTCAAAAAACTAGGTTTGGAGGTATCATGTAATGGGGATTTTTCAAGAAGAACTAAAAACATCATACCACAGTGATATACATACACCCATGCTCATAGCAACACAATTTGTCATAGCTAAATCCTGGAAACAATCCAAATGTCCATCAACTAAAGAATACCTAAAAAAGATGTAGTATTTTTACACAATGGAGTATTACTCAGCTATAAAGAAAGATAAACTTGAGGCTTTTATAGGTAAATAGACACAACTAGGGACCATACTCATAAGTGAAATAAATCAGACTCATGTGTATACATATCATATTGTGTCCCTAGTGTAAGAAACTGAAAGAATAAAGAAAATATGAAAGGTACAATAGATACTGTGAAAGGGAGAGAATCTATTCAAATGGAAGGAATGACTGGCATGAGGAAAAGGACAAAATAAAGAAGAAAGGAAAAATACAGAGAGAGGATAGCTTGAATAATTGTATTGCTGATTTCTGCTGGTCTACTAAAAGGAACAGTTAATGTCAATTTTTTTCTTATCTTTTTTAATTTCTTATAACTTTTTAAAGCAATTTTGCATGCTTATATGTGGTGATCTGAACAACTAATCTGAAGACATTGTGCAACATAAAAAGTATTGTTGAATTCCTATTGTTTTGTTTAGTGAAATTCTGTATTTTTTCTAATTTTTAAATATTTTTGGGGCTGGTGAGATGGCTCAGTGGTCTAAAGCACCTACTTAGAACAAGCTTAGCAAAGCACATGGACCGCAGTTCAATCCCCCAGCACCACATGCCAGCCAGCCCCGCCCCCTGGTGGGCTGAGCTAGCCACACACACACACACATACACACAAAATAAATAAATAAAAATTTAAAAAAAATTTTATTCTGTTTAAAAAATTAGAAAAAGAAGTAAAGGCAGAATCAAAAAGGAGGTAAAGAGGACAAAAAAGACAAAGTAGACTGATAGAAGGTAGCCTGAACCAAAGAATAAAAACATGAAAATAAAATCCATAATGCCAAAATGTAGAAATAAATTAATGACTAGAAAGACTTTTTAGTGAAAAAATACATATAATCAAATCAAGTGGCTAATTTAAATGCTACATGGATATCTTTTAAGCAGTAAATTAGATTGAAACACTTTACTCAACTCAAGATGCATTATAATATTTTCAATACCATACACGCCATTTCTCATTAATCCATAAAAACCAGAGAAAAAAATTTGCTTATGTTTTTGGTATTTCTGCATTAGATTAATAGAAATTTGCCAAACATAAGAGAAAATATATTGATGCAAACATTTTATAATTTCCAAAATTATAGTTTTTTATTTAAAAATACTGAATAAATTCAGAAATAATAATATCTTTAAAATTATACAGATTTTGAAAATTGCATCTCACGCCCTGTCTGGAAAGAACAAAGCGACTTACTTGTCCTTCCCCTGAAGCTGAGTTCCAAGGGGAGCCACTTTCGCCTCTGTTCCAAGATCCTGCTGCATCCGCTGCCTCCTCTTTCGACTTGGTGCAACATCCGGGACACTGGGGCTCCAGATAAGGGAGTCCTCTTTGCTTAAAGTAGCTAAAATAAGATAGGGTACAAATGTAACCTCAGACAACTATGGGTATAATTTTGGATGATCCCTCGTCTTGCTCCTTTAGCACAGAGAAAAGGTGGTATCATGAAAATACAGGAAAACTATTCCCTCACTCTCTTGCAGCTTTGCTGAATCCAGCCAGGAGCGTGGCACGTTACCAGATATTACGGGAAGAACAATGAGTCAGGTTGATATTTAGTAGGTAAGTATAGAAACTTCGATTAGAAAATCAAAGATAATTTCACAGACTTTTAAACCAAATATGAGGAATAAGAAAAATATAATAAAATCATAAAATAAGCCTCTAATGTGGTTAAGCTATTAAGTTATGATGCAACATATTTTCTACACATGAAACAAAAGAAGTATCTTGATGTATGTTCCTTTATTCTCTCAACAACTTAGTTCAAAAAAGAATAAAAGAGCTCCACTTTTTCATTCATCCACCACACAGTATATTCTGCTATAATACACACTTCTGGAAAAGGGGTGTTTTGCTATTGGAAAATACAGCACTATCAATAGAATTTGACTTTTAGGAGGTCACGTTGGTTTACAAGATTGTTCCAATGTGGTAACACTGACAAATGATTGAGGCAAGCTTGCTTTCCAGTTTAGGAGCAGACCTTTGCAAGGACAGATGTTTAAATGGGAGCAGGTGACAAGCCACAGTCCCATGGGAGTCCATTCCTCCAGGCAGAGAAGGGCTGGCTCCGGATATACACAGTGGCCAGTACCTCAGGCTCTTCTCCACAGCTAAGCTCTCCACAGAAGCACCAATTACAGCTGAAGATGCTGTTAAGAACACTTCTCCCTGTATCTCCAGTCACATTTTCCATCTTGCTATAACTACTGGAATCAAATGACTGAGTAATTCACTTTCAGACCTTTGAGTGGAAGGAGTGCCCAAGGGTCTGCTCGCTAGGTGACCCTGCAGGGTTGCTGCAGAGTCCCTGATACTAGGACTCTACAAGGACTTTCCAAGGACATCTCACCAGGGCAGAACTGCACAGATTCTGAATGTTCTGCCCAACCTTTCTCTCCCCCAACAGCCCTATTCCTTTTAGTGTCTTGTGAAAGGGGGTTTTCAGGCCCTTGTAGATCTTAGTCTCACAGAGAAGCCTGTGTGGGAAATCCTTCATGCAGCTATGCACTAACTGGTCTCCCCTGGCCACTTAGGACACTGCTCCCACCCTCTCAAAACTACTCTTTTGATTCTACTTTTTGTTTTAATAACTAAATTTTAGTATTTATTTATTTATTTATTTATTTATTTGATAAAGGGTCTCCCTACACAGCTGAGACTCATAGTAATCCATCTGTCTTAGCTTCCCTAGTGCTGGGATTGCAGGTATGTGCCGCCATGCCTGACTTCAGGGCCAGCACTGCACATGTGGTATCAGGGATCGAACTTGGGACCTTGTACCTGCCAGGCAAGCACTGAGGAGACCACTGACCTGTCTCCTCAGCCTAATAACTAATATCTTTGAAAAAGTTTGTGCTGTGCACTGTGCCATAGTTCTTAAGAGCTTAAAACACCCACTTTAGATGTTGTATCTCTTGTTATTGTTTTTATGTTATCTTGCTTTATCAGTTATACTACAATCTATAGTAAGAATAAGTTCCTTACACTCTGCTATACTGCCAATATACCATTCAACTGTTTCTTTTTTGTTGGTGATGGAATATGGAATATATATATATATATGTATATGTCATATCTTAATTTGATAATTTTTAATCCCTTTCCTTACCCCTATGTCTTTTTTTTTTTCAGAACCAGGGACTGAACTCAGGTCCTTGCACTTGCCAGGCAAGTGCTTATTCTACTGAGCTATCTCCCCAGCCCCTTCCTTATCCCCTATGTTTGCTTTGCCTCTTTCCCATATTCCCTTTCCCATCTCCAAAAATTCTGCCTCCCTGTTTCCTGCTCCCTCTCCTTTATTTTATTCCTCACTTACGTTTGGTATTTCTCAGATAGGAGAAACCATGCAATACTTAACTTTTGTGTCTGTGTCATTTAGCATTATGGCCTCAAAGTTCATTGGTTTCCCTGAAAGCAACATTAATTCATTCTTTCTTTATGACTGAATAAAATAACATATATTTTCTTTACCCACGCATCTGTTGATGTGCATCTAGGCTGTTTCCAGAGCTTAGCTATTGTACGTATCATTATAGTCCGATGATTTCAACTCTTGTGAGAATATACCAGAAGAGGTATAGCTGGATCAATGTAATCTCCATTTATAGCTTGTCAAGGAATGTGCATATGGAATTCCGTAGTGGTTGTACAAGTTTATGTCCCCACCAAGAGTGGGGAGCGTGCCTCCCGCACCACCATGCCAGCACTTGCTGATTTCTGTCCTCCATGGTGGACATTCTGACTGCAATAAGTTGGAATCTCAGCCTTGTTTTTGTTTCCATTTTCCTAATGACTAAAGATGTTGAGCTTTTTTTCATATACTCACTGTTCACTGTACTTTGTTAGAGAACTATTTATCCAGTTCATTTGCCCCTTTTCTGATTGGGCTGCTTGTTTGGAGGGATTATTTTATTTTTCTTTTAATTCCTTACTTACACATTCTAGAAGTTAGCTCTCCATCAGAAGCCAATCTGTAGGTTGTCTCTTTATTCTGTTAATTGTTTTCTTTGCTGTGCAGAATGTTGTTAATTGGATGTGATTCATTTGTTCATTCTTGGTACTGTTTCTTATGTTACTGGAGTTCTGTTCAGAAAGTCCTTTCCTGTGCCTATGGATTCACGTGTTTGCCCTCTTACCTTCCAGCACTTTCAATGTTTCTGTTTTTATGTTTACGTCTTTCAACTGTTTTGTTTTGATTTTAGTACAGAGAGATATGACTACAATTTCATCTTTGGCACATGGAAAGCAAGTTTTTCTACTGTCCTTGGTTAAATAGATTGTTCTCTTCAGTGTTTGTTTTTGGCCTCTCTATCAAAGATCAGAAAAGTAAAGGTGGATGAGGTTATTTCTGTATTATGAAAACTGAAACTTTATTTTGAAAAGTTAATCTTGAATTTTAATTATTTAAATTTAATCAATTTTTTTTTAAATTAAAGCTTACTTACTATAGACCTCTAGAAAAGAAGTAGGGGAAAGTGGACTGGGAATATAGGGGTTTGGGTCTTCATTTCTGCTGTTTCCACACAGAAAACAACAAAAACAAAAACAGAAAACACAAAGCAAAACAAAACAAAACTCAAGCCAATAGCTCATGCTCCCTGTAGTCCCAGGCTATGTCTCTCCAACAAGAATATAAACAGGAGAAAAGCTGAGAGAGGATGGGCTTTACCCCATTTCAAAGCACTATGTGGAGTACCTTATCTTGACTTAATACATTTTTAATCTGACCAAGCAAGCAAACATTATTTAAAAATGCATCGAAAAGCCTTCTGCCAAATTGTTATCTACTTTTCACAATCTAATCTGAGCAACTGAAGAACATAAGACAAAGGATCAATGGTCTGACCTTATTAACGCACGAACACTAAATAACCTGATAATCAACACAGTACTAATAAAAGTATGCGTGTGCTTGTGTGTGTGTGCAAGTGCACACGCACGCCTGCATGAACCCATATACACACTTTCCCAAAAGTCAGACTTCTGTGTTAGCCAGCACAGCTGGAAATCAGTTCGCAACAAATAGCTACTGACACTGGAAATCCAGAACTCAATATAAGAGGCAAGCAGGGCCACTAAAGCCAAAGCACAGACTCCATAAGTATCCACAGTGCGAGGAAAAGAAGAAGAAAGAGGAGGAGGGGAATGCAGGGGGGAGAGGGAAAGGAAGAGAACACCTTGGTTGTATTAAGTAGTGTCCCACATCTACAGAAAATTCCATTGTTTAACTTTTTAAAAAATATTTTTAAAACTTTCATCACCACAGGAACTGAGCTTTTCCAGCCTTGGGGATTCACTCATTCCTTCACTCATCCAGTAGCTGGGCACTGAGTGCTCCGTCAGGCACTATCAGGAAGACATTCCGATGGTTTATACTTAAGACAGCAGAAGAATGCGACTATTCACAAGAAAGCTGCAAAGATCACAGCAATTATAAGTGAATAATTTAAAAGTGTTATGGAAGATAGTTTTCCAAACTTTCATCATTTTTCTGAATTAATCAGTGAAGCTCCACTTTTCTTTTCTTGTCAAATACCTATTATAACTTGACTTCTTATGCTGTTTTTCTCCATTTGTAGACACTTCTCTTGAAAATATAATTATTATTATCAGATGGCTTTGCAATAGACTTCCCAAAAGCAAACTGAAAGTGTAGCTTACTCTAAGCAAGTAGATTTAGGAAAAGATGCAGCTTTCAAATGAGCTCTTGAGAACGTTTCTGAGTCAGCCCAAACAGCAAGTCTGCACTGCCACGGTGCCGGATTCCTCCTGTAGGCCCCCTGCTAGTCCTCAACTCCCTCCTTCTGCGGGTCTCAGCACACTAGTGAGCACTCATCTAATATTTACAAGCTCCCTGAAGGCCGGGCTGAGTGATCTATTTACCACTAGATCAGTACAAGGAATAACAATAGTAACTCCTCATTAAATACCCATTTGACTGCTATCCTCTTAAATGCAAATGGCCTTAATAATAAATAACTTCTTAAAGTTATTTTTTCATCTATGTGAAATACTACACTATTGATTATATCTGCCTCTGTCAGTCAAGGAAACATCCAGAAAATAAATGTATTACAGGGGAGAGGACTTCATGAAAAAGCAACACTAAGCCTTCAATTTCTATCATTTGCAGTTTAGAAAAACAGGCTTTCAGAAGTACTTTTAATGATTAATAGGTTGTTGGAAAACAAAACTACAGTTTCTCAGCTTTTGAGCACTACATATGTCATGAAATGTTTTGGACATTCATAAAGTTTTTACGGGTGCACATGCGTCAGGTACAGACCTCTCTCAACGGAAGACAGCAGCTAGAGATGTCTAAGCATTTTTAAAATTTTA